AGGGAGAGAGAGAGAGAGAGAGATCGCAAAGCGAGGGAGAGCGGAAGGGAAGCACAAAGGCTTGAGCTGTGGCTTTGTTTTATCCTGCCAGTCATCGACTTTTTCTTGTTCTTCTTTGAGGATTCAACGGCTGCATAACCAGACGGCCCACACAGGGGCGTGAATGCATACATGTGGCAACTCTTCCGGTGGAGTGAATGCATCTAGTAGTGATTCTAGTCAGCTTGCAGCCTGGGCACAGTGGGCACCTTATTGATGCCCGGAGTCACCACGACCTTAATGATTGCCGGGACACATACCGGAGACTCTATCTGGCAGTTTGGATACGCTAGGTGGGGTGGGCAGGGCTGCGGTTGCAAGCTCTCTATCATCCGTGACGGCATTCCCGGGAACGAGGGACCAGAATGCACGAGTGACAAAACCGGCTCCGCGCCTCTGGTGCGACTGAAAGTCAGTGTCCGGACATGGTATTTTGTTTTGCCGTTTAGCTCCAAGGAAATCGGAATCGGCTGGCTTGCATGCCGACTGGAATGCACAAGCTTGGCACAGCAGCAGTAGCACGTACTACGCGACAACCTAGTGCCCAGTGTCGGATTACATGAACATCAAACAGTGTCGCACAACAATAACATATTCTGGAGGATATGACCTCGGCACAATCGCGTTGGGCATGGCGAGCTAGTGCGAGACTCCAAGACTTTACTGCCTGTCTGAGTCTTGACCGGTGAGCTGCATGGAGGTGACATCGTCATGCACCATGATGCAGCAACCAATCTTGCTTGAAATGACTGTCTGCTGCACTGCTTATGCATGTTGCGGGGTGTAGCAGTGCTTGCATGGTGTCGATGACGTGAGTTTCTGTTCTGTTGCGGACAAGATGCATGGGACTGAACGCCCCGCCATGCATCCTTGAACATCTCTACGAAAATGGCTTCGCCCTCTCCATACCTCGGAGGCTGCTCCACTTGCACTGCGAGGCCTCCCACCAATTACCGCGTACTGCCACCGGACGTATCATGACGTATCTACGTCCACCGTTCACGGCGTCACCGCTGAAAACATCCGAGAGGGAGTAAGAAGGAGTCAAGCCTGATTCGAGCAACAACGGCCTGAACGACTGCAAAAGAACGTCCTCGGTGAAAAAACACTCACTGTAGCGAAATAGAAGCCGAGCTGCAAGACTCCGCCAGCGACAACGAAGCCTTTTACCTGCGAGCCCTCGCGGTTGAAACAGCTGAAAACGAGATCCTCCATCTCCTTCCACCTTGGCAGCACAAGCCGCAGCCAAACAAATGCAAAATGCCGCTCTGGCTCAGCCAATTTCGGACCCTTTCGCCAGTCGATTCCAATGTTGAACATGCGCCTGATTACCTGTGGAAGTCTCTTCCCTTCATGCCTGCTTACACAACCCTCGTTCAAGATCCGTGTTGAAATAACGGACGGCCAAGTCAAGCCCAGGTCTGTTTTGCTGACATTGGGTTCATGCACGGAGCTTTTCCGACTGGCCGCTGTTCATACTGAGAGCCTTCGGCTGGTTGCCGCCGCAGGTAGTCAGAGTCCTGCGGAGTGGGCAAAGGATTCGCGAATTAGCCAGGGTCCCGGGTCAGTAGTGACACTAATGCCTACGCACATGCGAGCCATGCTGCTTGCAGCATCCACGGCCAGGATAGTATGTCCACTGAATGACGGTCCTTCAGGGGTGCTCCGGCCACCTCCGGCTTCGTACCAGACCATACCATCGCCTGGGAAAAGTTTTAGAACGCCACAAGAAGCATTCATCTAGCTATCCCCCGGATGTCCGGCTCCAATGCCCATATCGTTACCGACTGCTCGTTTCCGAAAGCTTCCCTCCTGTTCTTCGTCGAACATGTTGGCAGAGGTCCGATAAAATCAATGCATGTTAAACTGTTAAACTCCCCCGACCACCCCTGTGTGCATTTGTTTGTCTGCGACGCGAATCAAACTCCTCTCACAACTCCTTGCTAGAAACCCCGGCAGCCCTTGTCAAGCATTTTTCCGCGGTGCACATGTGTGCCTTCTTGCTTCTCGCTATTGGAGACCGGACGAAGAAGGGGGAGCAAGTGCTGTGTACGCACTCGGAGCAAAAATGCGTGTCCCTCCCAAGTCGGGTTAAACTCCTATTTCAACGCGCTTTATTACAGGTTTTGGTTTAAGCGTCACCCTCTTCCATATACTATGATTGACACAACCACACAGATGATTGCCGCCACCATCGTCAGCGAAGGCGATTGGCCTGCAAGTAGGCAGTAGACACAGGAAGAGCCGGAAGAGCCTCAAACACCCAACTGCAGTTGGCACTCGGGCCATGAACATCCTGAAGCAATACAACTTCGGCATTGGCTTCTCATGACTCAGCTGCGAAAAGGTCCCCGTTCCGTTCTTTCCACGAAACATGACTTCAAGCTCTAGAGCAACCATGTCTATATCTGCTTACCATGACAAGTGCTGCAAGCTCGTGAATCAAGCCGCTCCTCTGAATAGTATTCTGAAAGGCCTGTCGCCACCGACGTCGCTGCGCATGTCAGCACAATTGAGATGGGCTTGGCGTAGCCGTACAATATGTTGTCCGCCTGCGCGGCCCGAGCCGGAACTGGGCGGCTTCTGTGTACATCTTCGATTAAGACTAAATTCAGACATCGGGCATGCGCAGAAGGGCTTCAGCAAAGGTTATTTCTGCCGAAAAAGGACCGGGGCAGATCGTTGGTTTGTCCGATAAACCGTGTAAACAATCTCGTATGCAGGCAGTTTGTTGTTTAGGTCAGACACAAACTCTGGCTAGGAGATTTTGCTTCAGAGATGAGAAGGACACCTCAGAATGCTGCCAGGTTGCATATTTCAGGCACGACGGGATGATGATGCAGTTCAACGTCTTTAAGGCCACGATCACCTGATGATCAAGACGGCCTTTGAAGACAAACACCCCGTAATGTAGGCTCAGCTGTAGGCACTTGCGACCTACGAGTCTCAGCTGCAGCTTCGGAAGATCCGGCTGGTCCTGCTGCTCTTGCTTACAGCAAGAAGCCCAAACTTGCTGTCAAAACCATGCCACAATCGTCAACGTGATCTCGCATGTGCACTCACTGGCTCGCTCTCTCTCTCTCTCTCTCTACACTCAAGTGCGGCGAAATCCTAAGAGTCCCAGGTGCCCAAACGAAGGCGTTAAAGCCGGCCGTGGCTTCGGCCAACGAGGGAAGTCCGGGGCCAGTGCCCAGCACGATCATCCTTTCATGCACAAAGAAAGTACCAGGTGTCACCACGGTGTGCACAGGTTCCGACCTAGGCCTAGGGCATGAGGCTTTATCCTGGCCTGCAACGGAACCTCGGACTCACTGTCGGCTTAAGAGAGGTTTCTTGGAAAGGTGGCGAACCTGCATCTCGTCAACCGCCGAAGCACTTAACAACCAAGTTGGGTCCCCAGCTGGTTACTAAGCTGAAAAATGAAACCATGTGCTCAATTTGCGGTCTCTCTCTCTCTCTCTCTCTCCCTATCTCTGCTTTGTACCATAGCTGTAACCTTTTTCGTCTTCATATCCATATCCTATCTAATGCACCTAGCGCAGCCTTTGACTTCTTAACAAAACTATAAAGCCCTGCGCTTGCTGCATGCTGTGGATGAAGCCTCACCGTTGCTAGCACTCTTCAAACGATCAAGCGTTGAAGCGTACTAAGGCTACTAAGGTGACATAGCTTTGTTATGCCTGTCTCTCATTGCGAAGCATGTCTTCCCTGCCCAGAAATGAACCATCTCTATCTCAGCGAACTCTGGACCCAAACATCGAGAATCGGAGGAAGTCCGATGCCGGATTGCAAAAACGCTGCCTCGGAGTCTGCTTGCAAGCTGAAGCTCCCCGCCGCTTTGATAAGGATGACCCACAAGCAAATCCAGGTGGTAAGCTGCAGGTTTGTGACCCACTCGTCCTTGTCTTCCTGGGATTTCAAACGGGATCCTCCCCCCGGAGGCTGGGGGCTCCAGTGGAAGTTTTACTCTGCAAGCTGACTCCCAGCACTTTTAAGGCGTCCTTCAGGAGACGCTCGTAGAAAACATTCGGCAGCGCGGAGAGCAGGGCTGAGAGCACCTGCAACTCGACGTGTTACTCCGTAGCTGTGACCTCACGATGTCTCTGGCTGTACCGGTAGCGGTTGCTGCTGCTAGTGCTGCTCCTACTCCCACTCCTCCTACTAACCCTACCAAAACTACTACTGCTACGACGACTATGGCTATAGGGACGACGACGACTAGATTGACTACATGCTACGTGCGACAAACTGCATGCTACCTACTACGCCCCAGTTACTACGCGCTGCCTACTATCCACTACTTACTACTTTCTGCATCCAGCCTCCAACAGCACTGCTGAGAAGGAGCTGTTCATGTTCACCAGCTCACGCAGACTACTTACTACCTGCTCCCACTCCCACTACCACTCCGACGAACACACATACTACAATGACCACCACCACCGCAACAAACTACCGATTGCGTGGCCACCACTACGACAACACTACTACCACAGCAACACAACCAATGTCGCCGCCGGCTTGGCTAGGTTACTCGGGCAAATGCCTGCCTTTGATATACAAAAGGACAATATACAGTCCCCCTCTGCAGCCGACAGCTGATGTCTGTCATGACACCGTCAGGCCGGCGCCCAACCAAGGAGCTGATCCGCCTGAGACATCGCAATCATGGCCACAGGCAGAGCACCGTAGTCAAAAAAGGTCTGAGAGCTTAACATCCTCTTCCCAGGGCTGCAGGATTTGCTTTTCGCGCTGAGATTCGTATCCTGGCCTCCCAAGGCTTACCGTCAATGTCTGCCACTGGGCTTTCAAGCCCCCATAATTTAAATAATTTCTTCGTTTCCGAGCCTAGTTCCTCTCCCGAGCCAGACATATCTTGGCTGAAATCTCCAAGCAAAGCTGCCGATGACAAAATAGCTGCAGGCTGAGCCTAACCGGCCTTAACCTGACTTTGCTCCAGGAAGTCGCATTCAAGCAGAAACGTGCCCTCCAACGAACTCGCAGTGAGGCAAAGTTGTGCAGGCATCCGAAATAAGAGGCACCAGGGTAGTAACTGAGCCCCTTCCAAGACCAAGCGGCTCAAAACCGCAGGGCCCGAGACTTCGGCCAGCTGCGTAAAAAGCGTTCCTGCATCAGGTGACTAATGACTAATGAACGAAATGGACTGCTATGACTGATGTTCGCACGCCGAAGTTCGGATTCACCGTGGCCGAAAGAAGAGGTTTAGTCTTACAAAGCAACTTGAACACATGAGGTACTCATACAAGCTGGTGAGGCTACGCATGGCTACACTTACTCAAACTTGGCAATGCATGTGTGCCCGTGTGAAACGCCCAGCACCGACCCAATTCGTTCCAAAAGCAGGGCCACGCCTAGGAGCAGCAGGCCCAAGGCGACGATCTGCATGCTGGAGAAGCTCTTTCCAAGCATCTGCGACATGAAACCCGCAGTGAAGATCAGCTTGCTCTGACCTCCGAAGCGTTTCCAGTCCAGGCTTAGATGCGAAAGGAAGCCCACGACTTAATTCAGATGGTCATGTTTCTTGCCACCATCTGTTTCAAAGTTCAAACAGTCGGTTCGACGGCCGCTCGTCGCGATGCTTCAGTGCACATGCAACTGCATTCACCTTAACTTGGGAGCTGTACCTTCCCTGTTAAACGGCGAGGTAGGGACCAAATCCTTAAACCCCCGGCAGACTCAAAGCACGGCCGCACACAGAGCACATCCTCTTGCTTGCAAGCTGCTCAAGACCTGGTATGTGGCAGCAGAACAATATTGAAGGCAAGCGAAGTAGAGGAGGTTCCTCAGAAGGGGCCAGCTGCAAGTGGAAACGGCTTGGCAGGCTTGACGTCCCTTCGACGCTCACCATTGATATAGTACACCCTTCTCACCGGTCACCCAACTCGGCTAAGTGCATGCAAGGTACTGCGCTGCGTATAGCAGGCCGACCCACCACATGGAGAATGGCTTTCGGGTGAAGGCCGTCCTGATTCACGACTAGCTTCATCCCGACAAACCGGCTGAGCGAGGTAGCCTGACCCGTGACATGTCAACTGTCTGCATCGGATTCGAGGAACAGCCAACATGCAGGGCCACTACGTAAACCCAGCGGAAGCCGTGCCAGTTTGTCGCAAGGCACCTGATGGTGGGTATTACTTGCTGCGGAGACTTGATGTAGCCGATGGCCAGGAGAAGCAACCTTGCTGTTTCGGACAACAGAACATTCACAGCAGTTTCGGGAAGGCTGCCCGCATAAGCCAGCAAAGCGCAACAGAATGCGGTACATCACACAGCAGCCATAGCTGCCATAGCACCTGGAACCAGGGGTCCTTCGGTCGCCCGGGCCCCAAACCCCTTGCGGCACGAAGCGGCATAATACAGCAGAGGCCACCCCTTTTCCATGGGGCTTGCTTCAGTCGCCCGGGAGCCCCTCTCCAGCCTAAACCCTTAACTAACCCGCGGACGGGCAGCGGGAACTTGAACACCTCGCTGAGCAATGTAACATTTGCCCCGGAGTAGGACAAGCTGCATCGGGCCTCAAAGATCGGCTGTGGGCATGCAAGCAACATCCAGCAACACTTCTTGACTTTGCATGGGTCTGTGTCGAAAGGATCACAATTACTACTAGTAGAATGCTCTTACAGTTATTTTTATGTTGTCTGCTACTTTGATTGTAATGGAGCGACAGATTTAATATAACAGGCTTTATTGACGCCGGTGGCCTTTGAGTGAAGGCATGTAAGCTTACAGACTTACCTCATCACACGTCTTCAGCAGAAGGGTTATGTAAGCTCACATCAATGGTTGGCGGCTGGGAAATCGACTGCAGAGCATACCTGTGATACCAAAAAGCTGACATGAATGCCGCGACACTTCCGACTTTGCTCAGAAGTTGTCGGTGAAGCTCAGGGGTAAACTCAGTAAACTCGGATTCGACCCGAATGTTTGCGCTGATTGCACGCAGCATATGTAATTATTCAGCCTTTAACGACATCTGCATCCGCAGCCTTTGTCCACCAGGTCAGCGCATCCGCAGAGCATTTCTGGAAGACCAGAATGATTATGCACCTGCGCGATCGCTTCCAATGTGACGGTCGCACCGTGTTTTTTGCAACTTGATCCACCAATGTTGCCAAACGCACATGCGAGCCCTCCTTTGCAGAAACATGAACAACATAACTTTCGTCCGCACCTATGAGTACAGTCAGATGTATACATGCTTTCGCGTGCATGCATACCCACAAGGCGAAGCAAACTCCTCAATGGAGACGATACATGTGGTCAATTCCTGGTGTGGAAAATACTATGGGAAGGCTTTGTAGACGCAGCATGTCGTGGTAAGGCTGAAATTGAAAAACACTTTTCCGCCTCAAACCGGCACGGCCTCTTGATTCAAATCCGAGCCCTGCTTCGATCTGCAGGTTGGAGTCTGGGTCCCTTTCCTTTCTTGCCGGGATTCTCCTCTCAGGCTCCAAACCCCTTTGACCACCTCTCACAAAATTTGCCTCAGCCTGCCACAGCGCATGCTAGACTCTCAAGTCGAAAGCCCTAAGACCGTATTTCGATTTTGTGGCGCCTTCGGGCCATACACTAAACCGTGTGCCAGGCACTTCCTGACCTGCAGAAGCTTCACCAAGCCTGATAACGGTGTCTGGAGGTTGCTTCTGAAGGTGCTTGCTGGACCCTGTGCCAAGGCACAATGTCCCAGGGGAGACTAGCTGGCGTATCCACCCTTAGCTGGCTTGAGGCTGTCAAGAGAACTGAGCTGCAAACCTCAGGTTCCCAATAGTTCAAAGACTTCTGACACAATCAGCAAGTGAAAGCGCCTTGCCCTGTAACTCGAAAACTAGCTCCGGCAACCGCCGTGGAAATCGAAGCAGGGAGGGTTGGGAGGTTGTTGAGGAGACGACAATGCTTGGCCAGGTTGGCTGACCTGCGTGGCCCAAGTTGATACTCGTCCGGCTCATCTGCCGCACCTACTTGAGTGACCCAAGGTGCGTACATTTGACGAAGCCTGCTTGCGGACTGGTCCAAATGCAGGAGGCGAGAAGCAACACTGCCTTTAACTCTTAAGCCCAAGTCCTAAGTCCGGGCACAAGCTCGGCAATCACCGCTAACCTCCCTTCCAGACCCGAAACAGTCGGAACAAAGCTCTCCAGCTGGGAGAAATCCTCAACTCCGCCCATGAAGCCGCAGCCCACTTGAGTCCTTGCAAAAGCTCCTTCCCCGCAGCCGGGGCGCCATCAGCTTCGCTTGCAGAAGCTTTTCGAGCTGCGAGGATGCCGGCCTCATCTCTCCCTCTTCTTCTTTACACGGCTTGGCCCGGAGAATCTCATGACTTGCCCTGCTGTTTGTTCTTCAGATTCCGCGGATTTGGGCCTGGCACTCGACCGCAACTGGAGGACCAAATTAGAAAGCAGCTTGAGCTTAGTTTGGCTACTGGTCGCCAAGAAAGGCAAGGAGCTGTGGCTAAACCACCGGCTGCAAGGTATTCCAGGCTATGGTCGAAGGAACTGGGCGAATTCACCATGCCAGGCCTGCAACGCCACAGAGTTCTGCTCATTCTCTCTGAATATTGGCTTGAAGGGCACTTTCCTCCCCATATCTGTATCTCACCCACCCTTCTCTCTGCTGCTCCATCCCTCTGTCTTTGACTATCTTCCCTCAACGTAAGAGGAGCTCGGGTACTCGGCGTCGCATGCTCTTTGAGGCTTGGGGGGGTCGTTCCGGAGCTTGCCCTAGAACTTGCGGTCTATGAACCCGGAGTCCTGGAGGCAGAACCCACATCCAGGTATGTTAAGCCCAAAGACAAGGCACCTTCAACTCGGTACCGCTTGGGATCGCAAAAGCAGTGCTGTTCGATCACTGCTTACGGCCATGCATGCGCAGAGTTGTCCGCAGCGATACCCAGAGCGACTACGCGTGCATACTCGAGCAACCGGCCTACTCACGTCGTGCATCTTGGACGGCCGGCCGGCAAAAACTGCCTGACTCGGACCATGAACACAAGTGGCCTCAGGTGCCGGGGCGATTTTTCGGGACAAGTCTGCATGGAGAAACTTCAAAGGCCCGACTTACATGGTAACAATGCAAACTTACATAGCTACACAAATACATGCACTCAGACACGGATACATTGCCATTCGTCTAATGCTCTAAGACCACAAAGTCTGCAAGCCCAGCATCCCCGGCACACGTAGACCTGCGAGTCACATGGCCCAGGTTGAAGGCTGGATGGACTTGATGTGCTGGATGCTCGAGCCCCCGAGGCTCAGTGAGAGGACCCGCGGATGTTTCGCGCTCCCACTCAAGCCTGGTGCAGCAAATTGCTGGGAGTGATAAGCCATGAAGCATTTACGGCTTTTTTGCTGCAGCATTTACGGCCTAAAGTGTGGAGGTTGGGTTGTTGCCGAGGCACAGGTCCGCATCCTGCAAGAGCACCCAAGCCAAAAGTGCCAGACCCAAGGGGTGGCAAGGCCATCGGCTTTTTCGGCTTCGCACAGGGCCGGAAGCCACTCGGCACTGGCCCATGGCCAGTGTCCGGCACACAGTTCGATGTGCCTTTTTTTGGAACTTGAGCCGAAATGTCGGGGTGGGCACCTGAATCCAACGCGAACCAAGCCATATGCGAGATTGAAACAGCTTTCCGCAGGATTGGGGCCCCCGTCCATGATAACTTGCGGTAAACCATTTCTTGCAGCTAAGGGTACAGAGGAGATTGCGATGAAAACGACGTCACTCTCCAGCTCGCCGTAGACTTTCGGTGGATTCGCCTGCAGAAAAGGGAACTTAAATTGATATGATTTTTCGGTGCACCTGCTGTCCGATGTTCGAAGACTATGTGCCGGGCCTTTGGATCCACTTTCAAGGCATTGATTGCAAAGTGCAGATCTTCCAGCGTGCAGTCCGCAAGGCTGATGACCTTTCAGACGGGCGGATACAAGAGAACATAGTACCCGAAGTCGCAGATATGTTGGCGCATTGCTTGTGATTAATGTCGGCTTGATCGCCAGACTAAGCACGCCTAATGCTTCTCCACCACACGCACAGCAGAGACACACAAAGACAGTCAGAGGCAGAGAAAGACAAAC